CACTACTATTGGCTCGTTGACATCCGTCCTCATCATGATGATGCACTTCTTCTCCTCGCGCAAGCGCTTGCACCTGAAATTCGGAACCTATCGACTTGCCGTTTCCAGGTCCGTGCCCTGGCCCATGTACTGCTGCCACCAGTCCTGGCTCTCCTGCAAGAGCTTCTCCTGCTCGCCCTGCGTGGGCCCCGCTGTAATGTGCGCGACGCGCAATGCCCCATCGCTGCAGCGAGGATGTGCACGTGGGGCGGCCCTCTCTCCTTGAAGTCTTGCTTCTCGCCCTGATTCTGCTTGGCCTTCATGTTTTTGCACTCGTCGTCGTAGCGCTTGCCCGCGACCGCCAGCTGCGCGGGGGGGCCGCGATCGAGTGCGATGCCCCGCCGGGGGAAGACCGCGCTGGCCGCGCCTGCGACCTCGCGCGGGGCGGTGAGTAAGTAGTAGCCGCGCGGCCATCTCCACGATGCGCATCACATCCTTACCGCCCATGCCGCCGCCCTTGGCTTCCTCCTTCGGTGTTTTGTTGCTGCTTGCCGCCGCTCCACCGCTGGGGTGTTCGACGTTGCTGAGGCCCCCCCTCTTCTCGCTCAACCGCAATGGCCTCTGCGGCCTCGCCATCCGAAAATAATCTCTGAGGTGCGCGTTCGGATTTGAATGGGGGGCTTCCACGGGAAAAGCTCAGAAGCCAAGTGACTGCATGCATCAGGAAGATCCGCAACTTCATATATGGTCGCATAGAGAGCCCTTCAACTTCGAGGTTGGTGCGTTTCTCCCAATGCCAGCGGCCCGATCGCGCGGCAACTGCATCTGAGAAGCGAGCCCGAGAGATGCCTGGAAGCTCTGATCTTGCTCGGGAGCGCCTGCCTGCAGTGCGCGTGGGCTTGTGAGATTTGTGTGTGTGCGTGTGTGTGTGTGTGTGTGTGTGTGTGTGTGTGTGTGTGTGTGTGTGTGTGTGTGTGTGTGTGTGTGTGTGTGTGTGTGGGGGGGGGGGTCGCATGCGCTAGACTGCGCGCGCTGTGATGGACCCTATGGTGGTTCGTGAGTGCCTTGCGCGCGTGAGAGAGCTTCCTTGACATGCCCCCATTCGCGCCGGTCAGGCGCCGAAGCTGCGGGCCCCCGTCGGGGACTGCAGGGGGCCCCTCAAGCCCAGCGCGCGTCACCGCGTGACCTGGGGGAGGCTGGGCCTGAGACTCAGCTCCCCCCGGAACTCCCGCGTCCATGCGACGAAACTCCTCCGTCTCCTCCTGTTTGCGCACCAATCGCCTCGCTATCGACCACCTCCGCGGCGGACTCAAAATCGCGCGAGAGCTGGCGCAACCGCGGAGGCGCCGCCTCGGAACGGGCCCTATCGAGCAACTGCGGTGGGGGCACCGCCTCCGCCCCGCACTCGAGGTCCCCGAGCGTGGCGCGCAACGGCTGGATGTGACGGTCGGGTCACTCTGCCCAACTTTAGGTCCACTTCAGGTGGTGACCTTAATCCACTCTCACAGTCGAGCACTCGGCGATGCTGAAGCGCCCGTGGATGAGCGAGCGGCCCAATCTTGTTTTCCTCGCGCACTGTCGCTCTCCCCAGCATTGCAATCAGCGCCGGGGGGCCCAACTGTCCGAGCGGCGGTAACCCACCTTGCGAAGGCCGAACTCCTCCAGGCCAGCAAGTAAAGCATTCTGCGCAACGCCCAGGAGCAAGCACTTGCGCAACTTGAAGGGGGTAGCGAGCGACCAAATGCCACCGACCCGGTGCAATGCAGTCCTCGCTGGCGAGCATCTCCTAGTGACTTCCTGATGGCCAGAATCTCGAACTCGGATGTGGGGGCCCAGCACCTCGCGCTATCCCTGGTTTTCCCTGGACGCCCGTGATCCCCAGTCGGATTGCCTGTCGAGCAGGGCCCCCCCTTGCTTTCCAGGGTTATGCGCGTACCCGAACGTCTTCATCATGGCATCGAGAAGCTCGTCCATATCCTGAATCCTGAACCTTCCCGTAGAGGTCCCCCAGGGCCATGTCGCTCGAGGCCGCGTTGGTTTTGATTGCGTCATCTGCGCGCCTCAACAATCTCAGATCACTCTGGAACTCCAACCACTTCGAAGCGATGAAACGCGAAATCGGGTCGACCCCGCCCCGTTGGCAAGCCCGCTGCAGAGTAGCCAGAGCCAGAGAATATTCAGACACGCGGCCGCAGTGAAATGGCAACCCACGGCGCCGCCTTGGAACGGCTTTACAGGAAGAGGGCCTTCATAAGCAGTTGATTCGACCATGATGTCCTCATTGCGCTGCCTGCAGAGGGCGCGATTCGTTTCAGACGTGGAGTGGGCAATCGTGATCGCTAAAACTGACTGGTCATTGATCCCGCCATCGCAAATGAGCGCCTCGCGCGACGCAGCCGCTCGCAGTTCATCAGAGCAATGAAAATTGCGGCCTCGCGCCGCCTGTGCAGGATAAATCCATGCTCTAATGCATTCCCCATAACTGGTCAAACATGTGCAAGTCGTATCCCCCTGGATCCAGGTTGCGGCGCTTCTGTAGACCCCCCGACTCCGGCGCGAATAAAACGGTGTCATGATATAGCGCCGGATATTTGCAAGGCCCGCCAAGATAATGCACCGGAAACCTGGGACTTTCGGCGTGGACGCACGATGGCCCAATCCCCCTGCTGCTGAGCCCTTCAACCTGGACAGAGTAGCTGGTGCCAAAGTTCCCCTGGTTCGCTGTCTTTTGGGGCCGCTCTTCGCTTGGGCGACCTCTCGATGCAAGACGTAGCCTGCTGTTAATGCTGCTGCGCCAGCTCCTGCTCCTCCCGTCAGATCCCGTCGGCAAGCCTCC